TGGGGTAAAAATCTGTTCATATTAATTCCCTAATAAGCATAATAATTCATAATTTTTTGGTTCTAATCACATTTCAATTAAACTTGGAGACATAGATTTTCTGTTACATTGCGCAGACCTCATTAGTTTTACACTCAAATCTGGTCATATTAATTTTCTGATTTGCATAATTAGTTTTCAGCTAAGTAATTTCGAATTATATTTAATGTGTCTCCAATACTCTCAGCACATGGGAGTTCTTTCTAAGCTTTCTTTGATTTGATGTTACAAACATCTTTTTTTCTTCAAAATGATGTCTCTAAATACATTGTGAACATCTTCCCTGCAGGTCATTACATGTACACAGAAGCAGATGCTGAGCCACGTAAAAGCATCGCCCATCTACAAACCTTACCATATCAACACAGCCGTGAAGATTGTCAGCTGACATTCTGGTATCACATGTATGATTTCTACGACAGGTATATGGGGACACTGACAATTTATATTAAATATGGAAATCATAAGCCTGAACAAATATGGAGTGTTGCTGGCAATCGGGGCGACCTTTGGCAGAGTGCTACAGCAGTGATAGGTCGACATGAAGAATTTATCATTATTATTGAAGGGAAGCGTGGTTTAAGTATCTATAGTGATATTGCTATTGATGACCTGAAATTTGAAAATTGCTACGATGGTATGTTTGCTCTGTGCTTTACTTTGTTGATATCTTATAAATGCCTCGGGGATTAAATGAAATGACATCATTTCTCTCATTATTATTACTCAGCTAACTACATCAGACCATGTGATGAGACAGTGGAGTTTGAATGTCAAGTTGAAAGTCGGTGTCTACTATTAGATAAAGTATGTGACTATAAACCGGATTGTCAAGATGGATCGGATGAAATTGATTGTGGTAATTATAGTAGTATTGCTTGAGTTGCATTGCATTACTGTGCGTGATCAGGTCTGCTATTCTTCTGACATGTAATACTTTGTATGATCTTACTGTTATGCTCTGTTTACATAACGCACCTTGATAGTTCAAATATCATTTCAGGTGTGAAACCCGGAGATTGCCATTTTGATTATGACAAACCATACTGTGATTATGAACAATTGGATGATGATGATTTTGATTGGATAGCAGGAATTACGACACCTAGTAATTTTAGTGGTCCTGATTTTGATCACACTGTGGCAAATACATCTGGAAATAGTAAGTACATTCGTATTACGGCAGGAAAAGATAATAGCTTACCATCTGAGAAATATATGTCTACCAAATAGTTTAACTAAATGATTCAAATTTCATTCATAGGTCAGTTTCTTTACGTTGATAGTACAGTTCAAAATGAAGGTCAGATTGCTCGCATTGCTACCACGATATTTTTCCCAGCCAGTAATGGTGTATGCACAATGAGATTCTGGTATCACATGCTGTCTTCTTTTGCTAATGATGTGGGCATTCTGAGAGTGAGTCTGTTACCAAAATTATGTCATTATTGGAGGCAACATTGTTATAATAAAGAACGCAATTGAAAATAAATCAAGGTGTTTTCTTGGTTAATTATTCTATCCAGGCATCTATCACTGATCTCATCTCGTGTTGTCTTGGCACTCACTGTCAGTCAATATACATACTCTGTCATTGATCTAAGCTCAGAACTTACATTTTGTGTAATCATGTGACCATGTCCATTTAGGTATACACAGAATCAGATGTTGAAAATGATCAGAGATTATTTATGTGGCAAAAGAGCAGAAATATGGGAAAACATTGGAACTATGCTAAAGTAGTACTCAGTAATCCACATAGCTTCCGAGTTGTATTTGAAGTCATCATGGGTGAAAAAGAACAATCAGATATTGCCATCGATGACATTACTTTCACAAAGTCATGCCACTCTCCAGGTAAGCTTAGTTGTACTAGTATGTTATTATTATTATCTGCTGAGAGCAGACATTTATTGGAATAGTGCATTTCTAAGACCTGTCAATTAGATAAGTGTAGTAAACCGGTATGTTGTTATGATTACAAATCAAAAATGTGTTCTTGCCTATTTCCAATTTTGGCGAGTATTTTATTTTGCTTAAAAATATTACTGGACTATTATTCGTGAACTTTTTCTTTACAATTCATGTTATATTACCGGTATAGATATATACGGGTACATTGAGATTAATACAGTACATGTAGTATTAATTGAAGAACACATTGGCTAGATTTTCGTGCCATTTTGCTTAGATATGTTGCTGAAACTATTATTTGTTAAAAGTTTTTTTATACACTTCAAGTTATATTATCCTATGAGGAACATTGGGATTAATACAGTACATTCAGTATTATCTGTGGAACGTAAATAATATTTTTTATGTAATTATGATGACTTTTTTTAGCCTGCATTTTCCTCACAATATGATTAGATAATATATTATTGCATTGTTTCAAGACTCTTCTTCTCATATTTGCCATGCAAAAAAAAGATATAGCATTTGTTAGTAAATCTGTTATCAATTAAATTATTTTCAATCGACAATGCTGTAACAGTTATTCTATGTTTATACTTTATAGATCGTCTTCATTGTATTCCCGGTTAATTGAATTGATATTGTTGAGGTGTGTATGATTGAGTGAACGAATTAAATGTTAATTGTCTCAGACAGTTTATAATTATTACTTTGTGTATCACATTAGACGATGACACAGCAATCATTCCAGGTATATGTACACGTAATCAAATATATTGTCCTGGTGATCAGATATGTATATCTAAATCCTGGTTGAATGATGGGAATATCGATTGCCCAACTGATTGTTATGATGAAGAACAATTCAGATATAATTGCGGTAAGTTTACTTTCCATATTATAACGATTATAATGTAGATTTGCATGCTATTACTCATCCTATTTTAGGTTGAGTGGACTGTATTACATTTGTACACATCAACAGTTATTATATATTTGTGGAACGTGTACTGATACAATTAAACCCCTTGCCCAATAACAATTATAACCTCAAATTTATCAGATAAGAACACATTGTCATGGTATACCATGCCTGCGACATGGGAAATAATAATACACAAAAGAAATACAGCTATCAGGATTTTAGTCACTTCATTTACATATATTATGTAGATTGGGAATCACACATTGACGTCACTGTTATTTAGCTTGTTTCATTATTATCAGCTCTCACTCAGGATTGCAAAGTATATCCTGTCTCTATAGCAGTTGATAGTGATAGTGCCAATAATATACCACACACACATACTCTGTGACGTGTTCCGTTGTATTACTTAATTAAGGATGTTGATAGTGAAGTACATATTTTTTTCTCTTTTTCAAAATGAAGAAGCTGCTTATGCACCAAGAGTTGGAGAAGGAAGTGAAAGTTCAAGTAAGTTTATATTGTCAGTTGGCCCCTGACATGCAGTTTTGTTTTTGAAATATGTTCTGTAATTATCAGCCAGGTAAATTGTCCTGAAACTTTAGCTATTGATTACAAGTACCTTTATTATTCAATTATTGCCTAGGCATGGTGGATCATTTCATTGTATTTGTAACATTTACAATATGTAATGTACTTTTATTTTAATCATCTATCAGATGCTGGCATTGTAGCTGGTGCTGTAATCGGTGGTTTGGTTGTTGCAGGAATTGTCATTATTCTCGTTGTTGTTACTCTACGAAAATTAAAAGGAAAGTGAGTAGACTAAAAGTTATATTGCTTGTGAAAAAATACGTAAACACAGACCGGATATTATGAAAGTTTGCAAGATGTAGATGATTGCCAGACATTTTTCTGGCAGTATATCGATTCATATTAGTCACTGGGGACAATGTTGTTGTTTACACTGGCTTCACATACAGTTGTTTATATACACTTATAAGCAGCTGCAACTAAATGTATAGAACAACAAGTAAACATGGCTTAATATGTCAGATAACATCACCCTATATTATGCAAAAAGATAGATCGTATATGAATTCTTCAGTGGTACAGTTCACCTTATGATGGAACAGTATTGTATGGATTAACATTGTGCAGACTATTACTATAGCAACAACGATGAATCCTTTCAATGAGATTCATATACACAACGAACAATATATATTTATTTATTATTTTCAGGCATTCAAACTATAGATTTGGTAGTAGTTCCATCTTCGATGACAAGGTAATAATTTTAATTTTATTTATAATAGTGGTTGTATGAATAACCCAGGTACATGCGCATCGGGATTGGGGGTCAATATATCAACATATGATTTACCCCTGCTAAACTGACGATTTATTTGAAACTAAATTTTTGTTTTTCGATTAAGCATTAAAAAATAACGGTTAAACAATTCTAAAAACTTTCAAGAAAGTAAATATTTCAAAGAAAGTAACAGATGAGCTTGGTTTTTAAATAAAAACAACATCACAAAAATACGAAACTAAAACTAGAGCGTCAACATCAATGATGAGGTGTGCCTGTGGGCTAGATGTTTTTGTTTGTTTGCAGTCTGATTTTGAACCTGCCTCCGTTTTCACCATGCGTTTATTTCATTATATATGTAGGTGCAGATGAGTAATTTAAAGGAGTCTCAATCCGAGGTGAATATTATATATCTATGTAATCATGTATTTTTTGTTATATGTAATTTCTATCACAATTGTCGTATATTTAAACTTCATCACCCCTTTTTTGATGTGTGGTAATAATCCACAACCGAAACCACATGTAATGTTTCACTCTTAGACTAGTATCCTTACCAGAGTGGTCTACAATATCAACTTATTATCATTCTCGCAATGGTTAGCAAATTAGATATATTTGAATTTTATCTGATTGTTGATTGTTATGATTTATTATCAAAATTGACACTTATTTTTGTCTTTATCAACACAGGCTGGGGGTGTATTTTCTGTTGACAATCCAGTGTATGATTCCACCACATCTGAACACCAAGACTGATTTTTATATATACTGGAAGTAATTGGAATACATTTTATACCGTTATTCCTGCAAGAAAAGAAAACAGATTCTTCAAAATTAAAACCTATGAATATTTCATTTTGTAAATACCAAGGTGTATTGTTTTTAACTTGTGAATGTCATTATTTTTTTGAAAGATGTAGTGATAGTCATGTGAAATTTGTGTATCATAGATTTTTTGTTGTTAACACAATACTATTGCATGGACTGAAACTAGCATGAGTGGCAAGTCAGTGATATACTTCATGATACAACCTTAAACTGAATATGCGTGTCTCGTTCCGAATAAAAAGCCCATTAAAGCACTGCATAATTTATTGTTTATATATATGTATTTGAAAATCTTCATTACTTTGAAAATTTAATAAATTACAGTGATTGCAATTGTTTATATATATATATATATCTTTCATCCCTAAAGTGGCTGAAATTCTCTACTATAATTATAGAATTAATCAAAGAAAGCTTAGAAAGAACTCCTGTGTGCTGAGAGTATTGAAGACACATTAAAAATTAATTCAAAATTACTTGTATTTGGGATATTGATGGAAAAGCTGAAAACTAATTATGTAAATCAGGTAACTAATATGAACAGATTTGAGTGTAAAACTAATAAGGTCTGCGTAATGTAATATCTATGTGCCAAGTTTCATGGAAATGTGATTAGAACAAAAAAACTATGAATTATTATTAGAGAATTAATATGAACAAATTTCAACCCAAAATTAATCAGGCCTGTCTATTGTCCTAGAGCATTTATGTACCAAATTTTATTCAAATGTGATGATCAGTAATGGAGATATCAGTGTTAATTAATTATGTTAATTAGGTGATTAATAAGCATAAATATTTACCAAAAACTAATTAGGTCTCTGCATAGTCCTAGGATCATTGAAATGTGATGATGAGTATTCTTTAAAAGTTTCATTAAAAATCCAATTGGTGGTTCTTTCAGCGGAACATTCATGGACAAAATTAACTAATTATGCAAATTAGGTAATTAATATCCACAATTATTTACCCTAAAACTAATCAGGTCTCTGCATAGTCCTAGAAGATCTATGTAGCAAGTCTTATTAAAATATAATGATTAGTACTTGAGATATCAGGCGAAAAGCTGAAAATTAACTAATTATGCTAATAAGTTAATTAATAAACACAAATATTTACCCCAAAACTAATCAGGTCTCTGCTCAGTCCTTGAGTAACTATGTATCAAGTTTCATTGAAATGTGAGGATTACTACTTGAAATATCAAAAGCTGAAAACTAATAATTATGCAAATTAGGTAATTAATATGTACTGATATTACCCTAAAAACTATCAGGTCTGTGCAGTGTCCTATGACATCTATGTATCAAGTTTTATTAAAATGTGATGATTACTACTTGAAATATCGAAAGTTGAAAATTAATTAATTATGCAAATTAGGTAATTAATATGTACTGATATTACCCTAAAACATTCAGGTCTGTGCAGTGTCCTATGACATCTCTGCACCAAGTTTTATTGAAATGTGATGATTAGTACTTGAGATATCAGTGGAAAAGCCAAAAATTGATTAATCATTATGCAAATTCGGTAATTAATATTGCACAGATTTTTACCCAAAACTAATCAAATTTGTGCATTAGATCAGAGCATATATGCGCCAAGTTTTATAAAAATCCAATGAGTGGTTCTTTAGATATCAGTGGAACAGTCATGTAACAGCTAAAATCAGTTAATTATCATGCAAATTAGGTAATTAATATGCATGGATTTTTACCAAAAGCTAATCAAATCTGCGCATTGGCCCAGAGCATCTATGCCCAAAGTTTCATAAAAAATCAATGTATGGTTCTTGAGATATCAGTGGAACAGACGGACACACATACACACGCATACAGACACACTAACTGCAAAGACTCCCATTGTGTGCTTCGCACACGGTAGTCAAAAATTCCTTCCACAGCCCACACTACAATAATCATACGCTAATCGTGGTCTACTACTTGTTCCAGTCCACAAATATATAACATCTGAAAAATACATAAATTATACTCAAATGCTTCTAACCTTTTAAAAACTAGCCATTTGCACCTTGGTGGTGTTATGAACTGGCCCTCGTTCAATTGTGAGAACATGTACTCATATATGACCACTCTTGAAATAGACTGGTTATCCATGGCCAGAAACATCATACAATGATTTACAATATACAAATTGGTTAAAATGTACAGTTGTCATAGTTACGACTGTGACATAGTAACAATACATGGTAGGTCACAACGAATTATGTCAGCTACCTTCGGCAGGTGAACTAATAAGATGAATAAAATAGTTTTATCATCAGCAACTTACAAAGCATGTTATATATTAGTTGATGGTGATTTTGTGTGTTTACTAATGCTGTTCCAAGGTCGTATTTCTGACATTCATTGACTGATTACACTAAGACTTTACATATTATATACATAGACACATTCACTCATAACCATTTCAATGTCTAAAATCACGCATTCCGAAACCGGATTTCGGTCATTCATGAACATGTTTTTTTTTTTTTAAATTGGATATGTACACTTAGCATGATTTAATCTCAATGACTGTCATCTCCGAATCAAATTGAAAATCTCTGAATGCTGTCCCAGGGTCTTGACAGATCACATTAATCACACAAATAAACATCATTCAACTGATGCAAATTACCATTATAAGACATTTTTTTATTTTTGTGTGCAATTGCATGACACTTTGTATTCACACATAATCCACCAATAGGAGCTGTGTTGCTTACAATGACTTGTCTCCAAAGATTTTGGACGTACTTGTGACCAACATCATTAGTCAGCGTGCACACATGAAACATACATTTCAAGAACACATATATTTGATTGGATATAGATGTATCTTCATGAAAAATCTTTATAATTATTTAATAACCTCTTTTCTGACTATATAATAAACCTAGAACAAAGGTGATTATAATGTTTTTGATTTTGGTACAGGCAGCACCACGTATTTCTTTGTTTTAAGATTGAATGTCCATTATTCGGCAATTTATAACTATGAATATCATAGATCCGTGGTACATCGTGGCCATTTCAAAATGTAATCTCATCCTTACAATTAATTAAATAAAAATTTAGTATATTAGTCTTATTGTTGACTCGTTGTTAACATAACTCTGTACTATGATACTGGTGATATATGAATTGGGTGCCATAGGATGGTACTTGATGGCCAACCAACCTAATCAAATATGTATTTTGCATTGTAAGAGTGCAAAATAAGTTATTAGGATATTAGTACCAGCTGTTTTATACGCATGCGCATTGGCCGATTCTGTCAAATCTCGTCATCTGTTTTGGGGCGTGTCTGGTCGATGTAAAATTGTTTCCGATATAGGATAGGATGTGAAATTGTTTCCGCCATTGGGTAACGGAATTAACTGGTGTCTGTATGAAAACCGCTGTAAAGTGGCGGTAAAATGAATTTGCGCGGTTTTACCAACATAATAAACCAAACTTAGAACTCGCGATACTGGTGCAGTCGACTATGGTCGAACAACCATGAGAAATACATGGCGGGACTTTGGTGTTTCACATTTAGCACAGAAATATAAGACACGCCCACAGTTGGACAACCAATCATTTTATTATTTGTCACGATGAACCACGGATCATCTGCACGTCCTTTGTAAACACCACATACACGATGTGCGGCTTCCTTTGTGCGCAATCAGCGTCAACTTCATGAGAGAAACAAGACGCACTTGCTAAGCCTGGTGGCGCCCTACTATTTCATCAATAACCAAATATACCGGTACTATTATCCTGTTCCCGAATTGGACATTTGTTTATTTGGAGTAATTTCCCATTCTACGCCAGGTTCTTAGTAATTAATGATTCCACGTATTTATTTGGCCGTTATTTGACAGCGTAAAATTCCATAATGTTAATTCGCGGAAATTTAAGCACACTGATACTGATAATGGATTAAAAAATTGCCACAAAATGTACCACGGATCATCATATTACTGACTCTAAGCCAATTTATAATGATTACAAGGACATTGGCCAAGACTACTTAGGTTTGAGGCCAGAGAAAAGTGATATTTGTTCAACCAGTGCAAAGGATAATTACAATAAAATTGGAATGATTTGTTATATATTTGTAATTAAAAAAACAGCTGACTATTAGGATTCTTTGAAAAACTACGTATACTATAATAAAGTAAGTTATATTTATGCTGACTTTTAGTGGTATATGGCAATTACAGAAAATGGAAAATACAAATTATATTATAGATTATATTACGACCCTGAATACATGAAAGTAACTTCCACAATGCATTCTAATGGAAGTCAATGTGATGATCGGTATATTTTATGTTCCCAAATTGGTGTGTTTTTGTGTTTTTTACTATAATGGATTGGTATGCAAAATTGTCCCTTCTGTACATTTTATTTGTAGATCATATAGAGAGTTGGCAACATACTGATTATTGGCAAATATGGGGCAGTTTAGAACTATCCTATACGATTTCCAAGAGCAGATTTGTTTGTGAATACTAACACCTAATTACACGAAGAACATAGAACACTTTTTTGGGGTATTTGAAACCAAAATTATTATTCGAGCTCAGCAGCCAATCAGCGACGGCGTTACAGTTAGATGACAATTTCGGTTTCAAATTCCCCGGCTTAGTGTTCTAGGTTCTAAAAATAAAAAAAATAAAAAATAATAAAACAATTCCTTCAGTTAATCCAAAATTTGTTGTGTAATTTCAAAGCACTTGTTGATATACTGTGCTATCTGGATGACAATACTATCATTATTTAACAGTGCAGTGAACTGTTCTTCAGGAGGCAGGTTGTGATATGTCTGTTGAAGTTAATTTATCACATTTATTAATTAAACATTTCTGTTTAATATTCTTCAGCAAGTCTGTAATTTCCAAATACCACTTAGTTTTTTTGGCTTTTATTAACTGAAAAAGCTTCTTTAAGAAAAACATTTTTAGTATTCTTAATGCGGTTGTAATATTTTATTAATTGATTTTTAATAAACATATCCAAGGGGTATCTCCCTAACTCGCTGTAAATTCCCATAATTGGGGTTCTTTGGGAAACTTGAAGGAGATATTGACAGTATTGAACATTAATGTCCTCAACTGGTGATTTAGATGAGAACTCGTCACCCAATACATCACTGCCATAAACAAGTATCGGTCGTATTAATTTGTCAAAAAGCGACAGTGACAAGGTGATAGACAAATTGTGTAGTGTGCCTAATTTAGTTTAGAGAGAAAACAGTGCATTTTTAGCCTTTCTCTTAAAGTGCGTTAGGGCTTCCTTAAATTTTCCATTTGCACTGATTATTAAGCCAAGATAATTAAATGTTTTGACTGTCACAATTTCACTGCCCACTAGAAAGAAAGTGTCACTGTTTAAACATCTGTTTGATTTGTTAAAAACTAAAACTTTTGTTTTTTCTGGGTTTACAGTTAATTGCCATTTATTAACATATTCTGACAAGTTATCCAGACATGATTGTAGTGCATGCTTTGTTCTAGAGAGAAGGACCAGGTCATCTGCATAAAGTAGACAGTTGACAGGCGAATTTTCAAGAATTGGAGGATCACAATCAGAATTGAAACTGTGGTCAGTAATACCGTTGTTAAGAAGTTTAAGAAAAAGGCCATTATGCCAAACACTATCAAAGGCCTTTCGAAGATCAATAAAGCAGGTTAATTGCCCTTTTTATTGTTATAGTAAATATATTTGTTGATAAGCGTTTTTAAGATGAAAATGTTGTATGTCGTCCTACATTCACGCCTAAATCCAAATTGGTTATTTGAAAGAATGTTTTTTTGTTCTAAGAAAGAAGTCAACCTATTATTCAGAATACTATTGAATAATTTTCCCATACAGCTAAAGATAGCTATTCCCCTGTAATTTGACGGGGAGCACTTAGATCCTGATTTATGTATGGGTACTAGAAGGCTCGTACTCCAAGACTGAGGGTAGGTATTTGTGTTATAGATCATATTGAAAAGCTTATGTAATGCATCTACAAAATAATGTTGGCCATATTTTAACATTTCGTTACAAATTTCATCCTCGGCAGTGGATTTATTATTTTCAAGTAAGTTAATGACTTTCCTAATTTCATTTTTAACAATTGGCGAGTCTAACACTGTGTTGTACTCGGCTTTCTCTTCTTCTTTTTCCAGATCAGTGTTAATAAGGGATGTTGACAAATTATTATTATTTAGTAAGTGTTTGAAGTAATCTAACCAATCTTTTGGTTGGATATAGCTATTAGAATTAATAGTGTTATCATTGTTTAATTCCCTTAGAATATTCCAGAATTTAGTTGAATCTGCTTTAGAATGTTCTAACTCATTAAGCTTGGATAATTTACTCTGTTTTTTATAATATTTACATGTTTTAAAGTATTGGCCACTATATAAGGATCTAAAGGATATTTCTCTAAACTTTTAGAAAAATTGTGAAGTTCCTTTCGTGTAGACCAACAATCTTGATCAAACTATTTATTTTATTTTTATGTTTACGTTTTTTAATTTTTTTGATGCTTTTGTTAGCTATCTTTAATATAAGACTTTCAAAATCATTAACAGCAATTTCAGTATCAGTTTTACTATCATACTGTTTTTCTATAAAACTGTCAATGTCATTTTTTTTATATTTCTAGTGTTTCTTTGTATTGTTGCTTGGCCTGATTGTCCTCAATATATTTTAATGGTAAACGGCCGAGTGTAGTGGTATTTTTGTATAGTAAATATCGCGTTTATTTTAATATCACGTGTGCGCCAGCTGACAGTCCTACAGTCGGAGAGTATGAATGAACCAGTCGAAAGGTGTAGTAGGAATGTTGTTGTTTTATTTTGTTGTTATTATGAATTATCCCATTCATTTCAACGCATATTTAGTAATTTCAAGACAGAAGTATTTAAATCACAGAAAGACGAGCTAACAGATCATTCACTGCAGTCCGAGACTGAAACCAACCCAGGTTTTCTGGCTGCAACTGGCGACTACCTCATATTGCCTGCTATTCTTGTCGGGCATCTTCAAACTGCTCTTCATTGAGCTGTACGAGTTACTGCTGAGTTTTCCACACATGTTACAACAACAGGTATTTCACACTGATCTCAGCTTAATATTTGGTATACGCTCGTCTTTAGCGATCTAAAAATGTAACAGGAATTCAACTTGGCCGTCGTAGTTCTCGAGCATTCAGGTATTTGTAAATATTCAATTGCGGTAAAGCATTTTGTCTCCGTATTGCGACATTGGACGTTGAACTGTTGATTCAATTAGCATTGACTTAAATAAGGTCTCATAGTACTAATAGTGGCGAGAGTGGGGTACAAAAATACAGAAGTGCAGAGGGGCGCCCCCTCGAAAAAAATGTCGCCCTTCCCAAAATCAAGCTGAAATCCTTTGTGTCAGCAAACGTTGTCCCTCAAAATGCAGGAAATAGCGTTTCAGAGGGTATATATTTTACATAAAGGGGCCGCCGCCTATGTCCATACATGTATATGGTTCATGTACGCCAAGTTCGAACATTGGTGAAGTGCATTTACTTTTACTATCCATGCAATATTAAAAGGGATCACGAGAACTATCACATCGTGTATGGAAAGAACCTGTCAACGTGTGCACGTAACCTGTGACCTGGTTATGCCCTATCCTTGAGCGTGAGTGATGTCAACAAGAGTTGCCGTGGTGAGTACACGACTGCAGTTGATGAACTATAACGCATACACTGTTTTCTACAAAATTTATTTAGTGCATTCTGCATTTTACAAAATAGAAAGAAATATTGTAAATATATCTTGAATTTAATTTTAGAAAAGTGTGCATGAACGACTTTGTGAAATAATGCATGTAATAATATATACCAAAAAAAGAACACCCGTTTTCGTACAATGTTTTTAGGTCACAGGGGCCAATAAAGGAATCGGACTTGCTATGGTGAGGGCGCTGTGCAAGCAATTTGATGGTGATGTGTATCTCACAGCAAGGAATGAAGAAAGAGGAAAAAAAGCTGTAGAGGATTTAGAAAAAGAAGGTTTGCATCCTAAATTCCTCCAGTTGGATATCACAAGCCAAGAAAGTATTGAAGTTATCAAGAAGACATTGGTAGAACATTATGGTGCATTGGATGTCTTAATCAATAATGCGGGAATACACTACTCCCAGGTAACATTGCTGAAACTGGTAGATATATATTGTCGATGTTGACGTATCTTATCCAATTTTGTGAACAAAATGTCCGACCAGCTGGTAGAAAAATAATCAGTTACTCAAATCACTATTAAAGCCGATGATTAAAGCCACTACTAAAGCTAATGAAATTGTCTCCAAACTATCAAGTCGCTAGTAGGCTGCAATCTTGTTTGGTTTGCAATATAACTCGTTATAAAGGAACACTCGCAGATTCTCATGATGAAGTCAAAGCTTTAATAATTGTTAATTCATAAGAGTATAATTTCAAATGAGTCTGTTGAGTTGATGACATTGCTAAATGTTTCTATATCCAGGCAAACGATCCCACACCGATTGGTATTCAAGCGCATAATACAATCACGACCAATTTTACAGGTACCCGAAATATTTGTCAAGAATTGTTTCCAATCCTCAGACCACAATCCAGGTATGTCCAGAAACTAGTGCAGAATAATTACAAATGATACAATTAATCATTTATGTGTGTGTTTTTCAGTGTATTCAAATCTGTTTTATTATATAGGGTTGTTCACATCTCAAGTGAAGTATGTGAATTATCATTTAAAGGAATGAGTAAAGACCTGCAGATGAAACTCACATCACCAGCTCTAACGGAACATGAATTGGCGAAAATAATGGAAAACTTTGTACAGTAAGCTGAACATTTAACATTGATCATGTTTTTTTCTGTATATTGCTGTTTATGACCATGGTCATTTCGAAGGTTATTATTCTTGATGTGGGTAATGATTCTTATTCTTGCAACCACTGCTCTAGATAATATTTATTGTATTACTTTTGTTTAATCTTAGTACTGTGGAACAGGACATCTATAAAGCAGCCGGTTATCCCAGTCCAGTCACCTCAGGCTTCTATTTCTCACAAGCATATGGGGTCTCTAAAATAGGTGTTAGTTTATTGGCTGAACTGCAGGCGAAGTGCATAATGAAAAAAGGAATCCTTATAAATTCTGTGAGTATATGTTAGCAATCTTTCTTGAAACGTCAGTTAATCATAACACATACATGTGTAAATAACCTTTCACTTTTTGGGACAGAGTGGCTATTTATTTAGTATTTAAGTAATTAATATAAACTTTATAGCAATACAACTTCTTAAACTTTGTAACTGTAATAATTTAACTATAATAATAGTAAATATTTTCGATGTTTCACTTTGATGTTGAAACCAAAATATAAACTGATTTCATGTGTGGTATGTATGTGCCATTGGGATGGGTGTTCTCATTCATGTCTGTTAATGTAATGCAACTTTCGAATTGAATAACCTATTTTTATTTATATATTTGATTGCATATTTATTAGATGATCTTATTCAGTTATGTTTACATTATCACGTGTCATGTTATGTCGGTAGCTCAAAAGAGTTATTTGTTTTCATTATGGATTAATTATAATATAATTTCCATTATAATTTTTCTGGGTATAAAATAGAAAAAACATCACATCAATCAATATTTAACAAAAAGAGACTGACAATCTTTATATGATCAAATCAGGGTATATAACGAATACAATGACGTCCTACCGGATCAAAATCTAGTTCCAATATGTATTTACAGAATTATATTTCCTTTATTGTCTCAGTGTTGTCCTGGTTGGACGAGAACTGATTTGGGAGGCAACAGAGCACCTCAGTCACCAGACGAAGCAACAGAGACACCGATGTATTTGGCTTTATTGCCGCCAAAGAGTGATGGGCCCCATGGGAAGATGTTTAGGAACAAGACAATATACAACTGGCACTCGTAATTTTAGAATTCATGAACGAAATTAATCTTCCAAATAATAGGTTTGTGCATGAAAGGATAAATGTAAAATGTATTTGATGCCTATTATCCAATTAATAATGTCGCGTGTTGCACACAATAATCGTTTTAATTTGTGGTTTCCATATTTGACACTGATAAAGTACCGATAGAGCGTCCATACCTCTAGTACCAAAATGATAATTGTCATGGATGTGCTGATACGATAGTGTTTGTAAGTGAGCTGTGTCTTTGTTAATACAAATGTTTCCACATTAGTTATATTATGACCCAAGTGTGTGATCAACATATGGCTCGGTAGTCATCCAATCAACGTGATCTGTGGTGAAATTATGCCAACCACGTACACCAGACTCAAAGTCGCAGGATGTTTCTAAAGTGAAGTGAAAACTTTATACAATGAAATTATAAATGTGTGCCACATCACGATATAAAGGGGTCGCATTTATGTTCTCAAATAAATAAATAAATAAATAAATAAATAAATAAATAAATAAATAAATAAATAAATAAATAAATAAATAAATAAATAAATAAATAAAGTATAAAAACAACCTGAGTCATCTTGGCAAAATAACATTCTATCATATCAGCATTACATAATTACGACCATTTCATAATTACGACTATTTAATAATTACGCCCATTCCGTAATTACGACCATTTAATAATTACGCCCATTCCGTAATTACGACCATTTCATAATTACGACTATTTAATTATTACGCCCATTCCGTAATTACGACCATTTAATAATTACGATCATTTCATAATTACGCCCATTGCGTAATTACGACCATTTCATGATTACGACCATTTCATAATTACGATCATTTCATAATTACGACCATTTCATAATTACGACCATTTCATAATTACGACTATTTAATAATTACGCCCATTCCGTAATTACGACCATTTCATAATTACGACCATTTCATAATTACGACTATTTAATAATTACGCCCATTCCGTAATTGCGACCATTTCATAATTACGACCATTTCATAATTACGACCATTTCATAATTACGACTATTTAATAATTACGCCCATTCCGTAATTGCGACCATTCCATAATTACGCCCATAAGCCTTAATAACAGATAGTATACTGGTATTAAGCAAGAGCTCGTATTCAATAGGAGTCTGTTACTGCCTTGTTATTGTTATTTTATTTTATTTTATTACACATGGTCTTGGAGCCACATACTCTCACCTTAAGGTTTCTATTCACGCTGCCATGGCTGCCCATGCAATTATTTTCAGTGAATTTACATAGCATTCTGCACATTCATTAGATACGTGTTGTATTAAAACAACACATACTATCAAAGTCTACCTTCATGTATGGCCCCATGCATAACAACCTGCCATAGCCATATCACTGCATATCACGTACTCACTACTATGGCACAAGACAAAAAGACGAAGATGATCTCTATTCCAATTGCCAACTCAACAACAGATACATTCCCATTGTCTTTTTCAGGTTCAGTTCTCTTGTCAACTTTCTTATTCATTGATGAATGTTTGTAAAATCTACCCCCTAACCAGATGATAAATTTATTACAAACACATATTACAAACATTCTTCTCAACGTTGTTGCAGTCACAAGTAATCATATTTATTCATGGTTTCATTGTGCAACAGTTGCATACTATTATCATTATCGAGGTAAGATGTCCGCAGTAAACTAGACAATTGAACCAACACGCAATATATATATCTGACACTAGAGAATAATTTACACAGCTAGAATTTGAATAATATTAATGTTAGATAGGTAAATGGCTATGTACGGTGATTTTGTCGAACAAATTTCACCCTAGACCCAATGCTTGCTCTGTTACTAGATATGGACTAGCGTGGTGTCCTGTTCGAGGTTCGATTCGATGGTTAGGCATTTGCTTTGGAAATCAAGTCAAGTATGATGGCTCAATAAATGAATTAAAATGACAAACCCCAGGTTACATGAATTATTAACTGGCAAACTATTCGTGACAAAGCAATATATATTTCATGATGCTACCTAACAACCAAATGAAAATGTTGACGAATCTGTGATAAGGCTCATCAATTAACTAGCAAATCAAAATGGTGTTTAGACTAGTAAAGACTCTGCAGCTAGAACTATGCAATTTATAGAAAAAACGTGAGCGATCATAACAGCTGAGTCAAGAAAGTACAACCAACCCAGTCATAAATCACAATTCTGCTGACTCAATCATCGCGGTGGGAACATTGGTACTAAGCACGTTCTCGTTGATTCTTGATTCCAATGATTCTGGTGCGCAAAAGTTAGATACATGCAAAATGGTAACCCTGCATCTGGTAGCATAATGGCTGTATCGGGCTCGTGACAAGTACACCCAAATTCAAATTACAGACTGAACTCATTGGCCAGGGAACTCTCAGGGAATGTTGTTTAAGATAGAATTCTGCTCATAAATGCAAATACGAAATTAATTTTGCAATAAACTGCCCTTCCAGTCATACAAAGATATTGACTTTAAAAAAGTTGGGGGCCACCAGCCTAATTTTCGGGGAAATTGTGGTTGTATTTTAGTGGATAATGGCCATTTTGTCAGTATTATAATGTTTTTACCATGGCAGAGATAATATGCCATATCTCAAGTTGTAGGCTGAATAAATCATATATTGTGTATGACGGGGTACTTTATCTTGTGATTTGTGTTTGACCAGGTCTGCTTGACACTAGGATAGTGCATTCAAATGCTATTATAATAGAAAGATGGCCACACAGCACTGTCACATGATCTGGAACCATGTGGTACATGGTAATCAGAAATTATTATTGTCTCTTCCCAAGCTGAAATCCAAGAGAGATGACAGATGTCATGGCCCAGATAGGTGTCGTTGTAAAAATAACTGGTTAAGCAGTATAGTAGCTGTGTTAAAACATGATAAGCTCAGCTTGATGAGCAGAGTTCTTACTTAAAAACTTTCCTGACTGCCTGTGGCAGATACAAATATGTAAGATATGTCTTGAAGAAGAATGTCATGATCTATCGGGAGTAGAAGTCACTATGGATTGTATTTTGATTAATCCTAGTGATATTCCACAAGAATACAAGAAGAACCATGACAGAAATAATATGGTACACCTGAAATATTATAGTCCTGTGTGAGTAAGATGGCGAATATCTGAATTTTAGCTTGACCGTCCACGAATACTCTGGTGAATGTGCTCTATTTTGAATAATTAAGTCTCATTAGTTACTGTGGTGAGTATTTAATAAATGTACAATCTATCGACCTTGGTTGGGAGTCGTGTTTCACAGGACATAGCATGATTTTCAATCATTTATTTGCGCAATGGTTTCATTGCGGCGTCAACATGGACGGTACTCTATGGCTGTCACAATAGCTCTACCGGGTCGACAAATGCCATACAAATATACATGTACGTTTAATATACCATCAGATCGACACAAGCAGAGCTATGGACCCACCTGCTAGAAATATTATTGAAACCAAACAGTTGCCAACTAAGAGAGCAGAAAAGCTGAGCAAAATATGACAAACCACTGCCAAATAAGTCAGACCTCAATAACCCATAATTATGGTTGGATGCTTTTTGCTTAGGTTAAGTTGATTCTCGTTCCTATGCATACGTGAAACCACTGAACAAGTATATGCAACATTCTACTGCAAGTCACCATCAATATTATTTATAGACTACATCTCCAGTTGTGATAGAGAATTCCCCACAGTGAAAGTGAAAATGCCAAATCTACCAGAGAAA